CCGGACGTCTCCTACCGGGGTACAGCGCCGACGGCGTGCGCGCACCCGCCCCTCCCGGACTTCCCAAGTGACTGCCTCAAAGTCCCGGGACTCGTGGAGGGCTGGGCGAGGGGAGGGGCCTGGCGGCGGGCAGCCCCCCAATCCGATTGGTCTTTCGGCCAGTCACTCTCGGCGCCCGCCCCCCTTCCCCTTCGCTGCATAAAAGGCCTGCTCAAGGCGGGCCCAAGACGGTTTTGGACTTTGAAGTTGTAGGATCTGCTTCTGAACGTCCCGCTGCCAGTGGTGAGTGACGGGGGGGAGGGGGTGCCCCGATCGAAGCGGGGGGCCATGTCCACCGAATCTAGGGGCGCCCCAGGGCAGGAAAGGGCCTCCGGGGGAATTTCCTGGTCGCAGCGCCCTGGGAGCATTCCGTAGTCCAGGCTAAATATCCCCCTCCCCACAGACTAAATCCAACCTCTGTACCAGGCGCAGGCTTTCAAACTCTATCTTCTCAATTCCTGAGACTTTTGGGGGGCCGAGAGACCACCTTCGTAAGTGGCAGTACCAAGGGAGGCCTGAACCCCCTTCCCTAAGCCACATACTCTTTACATTGTGAGTTTTGCAAACGCAGTTCGCAGGCGAGCTTTCTCCCCACCCCAGCCCTTCGTATACAGGAATTCCGGCCTCCCTGGGGTCCCGAGGGCCCACCCCTGTACCAAGCGAAGCCCCCTCCCCTGCAAATGGTTTTGCTTTCCCTTTGGGGAGGTCTTTGGTGACACAGGAGAGGGCTCGGGCGAGCCCCGCCCCCTCCCATGGTGGGAGTGGTCGCGGTGGTGCGAGGCGCCTCGTGGGAAGGCCTAACCCTTATCTTTGTCCTTGGGACGCTGGGCCTGGGGCCTCGGTGTCTTCGAACTCTTGGGGTTGGGTCTTAGCATGCCCCGGCTGTGACTCTGGGCGGGGCGCCCCTTCTTTGGGAGATAAGTGGACGAAGGGAGAGCTCACTTTGTCCAGTCCAACTTTCTCTCGGCAGCTGGAACCGGCTGCAGGCGGTGACTGAGCTCAAGAATTCTAATGTGGTGCTGCCTTCAGCCATGGCCGTCTTTGGTCAGAACGGTTGCAGGGCCGGGATAGGGTTGATGGAAAGAGAGGGCCAGGGAAGAAGTGCATGGGAGACCTAGGAGGGACTTGAGCCTGGAGGCCAGAGCTGGGATGCCCACTTGGCCCCTGCCTCAGGTGAGGTCAGGTGAGGCTTATCAAAACAGGGTGCTTCCCCACCCCTCTTCCTGGTAGGGGGCCTTTGTGGCAAGAGGGAAGGGCATTGCTGGCTGTCTTTACCCCTTGGCACTTTGAAGTCTGAGTAAAATAAATGGCCCCATTGATTGGCACCTAGTACGTGCCAGGCTGTAAGCTCAGTGACCCGTGGTCAGTGTCTCCTTCAGCCCACAGGGCTTCTGAATGAGTTATCCCCACTTCACAGATGTAGCAAATGAAGCTCCAAGAGGGGAGGTGCCTAGGCCCGACTGCATGCTGCTAGTTGCCCTTGGATGAGAGCAGACTGGCTCACGGTGGCCTGTGTACCACACAACACAACACGGCCCCATCCTGCCCCATCTTCATGAACGTCGGTCTGCCCGAGTCCACGGTTGCCGCCACTGTGAATATTGAGGACCTGCCAACCTAGGGGGCTCACCTTGGAGCCCTGGATCAGACTGTGTTCCATTGTGGTCCCAGGGCTCTCATTGGCTGATTTTCAGATCACCAGGCCTTTCTTCCTCGTCTGTCTTAGTTGGAAGCTCTCCTGAGGCTTGTCCACCAAGGGGGATCCTGCTGGTATTAGAAATCCTAGTGGCGTAGCTCCAGCCTCACAGCAACATGCAAGCCACCACAGATGACCCAGTGACAGACAGAAATGGGACATGTGGTCTCCAGAACCCATTGCCTTCTAATCGATTCTGACTTCTAGCGACCCTGCAGGACAGAGTAGAGCTGCCTGTATCCAAGGCTGGAGTCCAGAGGGGCTCATTCTTCAGCGCTCTGTCGGACGGTGTTCTGTTGTGATCCATAGGGTTTTGGGTTGACACTGGCCGAGTGCGGGCAGCAGATTGCCAGGACTTCCTTTCATTCGTCTATCAGTTGGTCTCACTGGTGGCTTGTATGTTGCTGTGAAGCTGGACGCTAAAACAAGCAAAAACCCCCAAAATATCCCCTGAAGTCTTCTTAAAGCCAAACAATAGCTTAATTAGTCTGCCTTGAGGAGCTGTGGTGGCGTAGTGCCTAAGGCATTTGACTGCTAACCAGAAGGCTGGCGGTTCAAATCCACCAGCCACTCCTCGGAAGGTAGACTGGGCAATCTACTTCCATAGAGACACTGCCTTGGAAACCCAAGGAGGGGTTGCTATGAGTCGAAACCAACTTGATGGCAGTGAGTTTGGTTTTTATTTTATATAGATAGATAGATGTATGTGTATATATATGTACATATGTGTGTATGTGTATGTATATGTGTGTATGTGTGTGTGTGTAGACACACACATTTGTATATGTGTATTTGGCCATCAAATCGACTCTAACTCCTGGCGACCCCATAGGCTGCAGAGTAGAATTACTCCATAGAGTTTTCATGGCTGTGATCTTTTGGAAATACATCGCCAGGCCTTTTTCTTCCATGGTGCCTCTGGGAGGGTTCAAACTTGGGTGGATGTGAACCACCAACTTGATTATTAGTCAAGTCCTCAGAAGTAAGGTTGGGCAATCTACTTCTGTAGTGATATTGCCTCGGAAACCCAAGGAGGGGTCACTATGAATCAGGTCTGCCTTGATGGCACATAACAACAACAAACTGTTAGCATCACCCAGTGACACCTTGCTGGAAGCTATGCGACCAGTATTCCAAATGCCAGTAGAGTCCCCCAGGTGAGTAAGTTTCAGTGGGGCTTCCCAACTAAGACAGACTGGGAAGAAAGGTCCCCCTGCTAGTGAGCTGCAAAGCTGGGATTAGAACCGCTGTTCTCAAAACATCACTTTGCTGGGCTCTGCTTGGAGAATAGCAAAACAGTGTGGGCAAGAGGCTGGGCTTCCTTCCTCTGGAAAGAAATCAAGTTCAGGGTTTCTTAACGGATGGAGGCCAGAAGCATCCGGGGAACCAGCCTTCAAGGCAGGCACCACCGTCAGCCCATTTTTACAGGTGAAAGGGCTGAGGCTGGGTGAGGGGAAGTGCCTTGTTCAGCAAAGCACAGCGTGGGCAGAGCGGGGACTCACCCTAGTCATGGCTTCACCATGTTGTCCTTACCTCATCTCACCTGGTCAGGTAGGTGAGGCACACCTGTGGCTCCCATCCCACCTGCTACAGTGAGCATTAGACTCACCTGGGGAGCTTCCCTTGTGTTCCCTACACCCCTGAGTCTCAGTTCCTTGGGTCTGCTGTGGGGCCGGGTATGGTGTCTCGTTTTTAAAAAGCCCAACGTTTTTGAGTGTCAGTTGCCATCAAGTTGATGCCAGCTCACAGTGACCTGTGTGGTCAGAGCTGAACTACTCCCTAGGGTTTTCAAGGCTGTGAGCTTTCGGAAGTAGATCTCCAGGCCTGTCTTCCGAGATACCTCTGGTGGGTTCAACCTGCCAACCTTTTGGCTAGAAGCCAAGCACTTAACCGCTTGGACCGCTTTTTTGAGTCGGTAATATCATGGTGGCTCGGAAGCCTCCCTCCCACTCTGGCCCCCAGCTACCCAATCCTCCTCTCTGGAAGGCGGCCTCTGTGAAGTTTCCTGCGTCCTCTTAAAGATCTAGACAACTGCAGACAAGGCTATGATTTTGCCCCATTGAGCACGTTTCGTCTCTTAACACTTAGCACAGGTGAAACCGGTTGTCTCTGAGTCATCTCTGACTTGTGGCAAATTCACGTGTGTCAGAGAACCGCCCTCCAGAGGGCTTGCAGTGGCTGTGATCTTTTGGAAGTAGATAGCCAGGCCTTTCTGCTGAGGCACCTCTAAGTGGACCCCAACCTCCTACCTTTCAATTAGCCGCTGAGTATGTGCACTGTTTGCACTACCCCGGGACACCTAACAGGTTGCCATTGAGTCCCTGCTGACTTATAGTGACCCATAGGGTTTTCAGTGGCTGAGTGTTCCAAAGCAGACATCAGGACTTTTTCTGAGGTGCTTTGGGGTAGTCTCGAACCTCCAACATTTTGGTTAACACTTGAGCAGATCCACCATTCGCACCACCCAGGGACTCCTGGTCCATGTCAGTTACATGTAAATGTCCATTCTGTAACCATAGCCCTGGACTAAGCCCCTTCCATTGGGGGTCTAGGTGGTTTCCAATGTCATGTCTGTGGCCCGTGCAGGTACACACACCTCTATCCCTGTCAGTATGGGTGTGGGACTTTCCCCGAAGAGAGGTTTCTGGGTCAAAGGGAATGTGTTTCTTAAAACAGCAGCTGTTGGCACTTTGGAGTCCCTGGGTGGCACAGATGCTTAAGATGTGTCTACTAGCTAAAAGGTGGTGGCTCGAACCCACCCAGAGGCACCTGGCTGTCTGTTTCTGAAGGGTCAGCCTTGAAAACCCTATGAAGCAGTTCCACTCTGAACACGTGGGGTCTCCAGGAGTCAGAATCGACTTGACAACTAACAGTGTTGGCACAGTGCGCTCCACAAAGCTTCTGTACAGTAGGTTTCAGAGTATAGATACGGTATTCCCAGACCTTGCTGGGATCCAAGGTGTGGTCCAGGGACCAGCAGCACTGCTACCACCTAGGAGCACGTTAGAAACACAGGGCCCAGCCCCTGCTGCCCCTGCTGAATCAGCACCTGTTTTGTAACAAGATACCCGGGGGGCTCCTGTGCATATTAATGTTTGAGAGGTACGGCTCCAAAGAATGGGGTTTCAGAGAGCAGGTATGAGGCCAGCCATGCCACCCTCTGTCCCCCAGCTCTCAGGTGGGCTTCAACTTTCCCCTGGAGGGAGGGGCAGGACTAACTGGACTCTTGCCTGTTTCCTCTGTTCCAGTACCTGCTGCCAAGACCATGGCTGCCAACGGGACAGAGGCCACTGCCAGCGCCCAGGTGGCTGAGGAAGAACCAGTACAGCAGGTACGGTGGGCAAGAGACCAGGGACGGCCCTCTGCGCAGTGACCGTCTCATAGGCTTCCCACAGCATGTTATGGGGTGGGGACTGCTGACAGCAGCTTAGGGATAGGGAGAAATCACCATCATCTGCATATCCACTAAAGAGCCTGGTGCTGCAGTGGTTAAAGTGCTCGGCTGCTAACTGGAAGGTTGGCAGTTCAAAGCCACCAGCCACTCCGTGGGAGAAAGATGTGATGTGGCTGTCTTCTCTCATAAAGACTGACAGCCTTGGAAACCCTGTGGGGCAGTTCCACTCTGTCCTCTAGGGGCGCTGTGGGTTGGAATGACTCAACAGCAGTGGGTTGCAGGTTCTGTCCACTGTAAGTGTCCCAGCTGGGGGCCGGAGGACAAAGACTCCGGAAGGCTCTTAGTGGGCAGGGAGTGATTGGTGCTCCCTCTGAGATGAGCTGTCTCCCTGGAGCCCAGCCCTCCCCGTCTTTGAAGGTTCTCTGACACCAGTTACCATGGAGTTGACTCCGACTCGTGACACCCCAATGTGGGTCAGAGCAGAACTGCACTCCCTAGAGGCCTCAGTGGCTCGTTTTTTCAGAAGTGAATCTCCAGGCCTTTTTCTGACGCACCTCTGGGTGGACTCCAGTCTCCAGCCTTTGTGTTAGTAGCTGAGTACGTCAGCCAATTGCACCATCCAGGGACAAAAATCCATTTGCCATGGAGTCCATTCTGACTCTTGGTGACCCTCTGTGTATCAGAGGAGAATTATGCTCCATAGGGTTTTCGATGGCTGAATTTTCGGAAGTTGATTGCCAGGCCTGTATTTTTTATTGTGATTTGGGTAAAAGTTTACAGAGCAAATTCATTTTCTGTATACCAGTTCACATACACTTTGTCTCATGACATTGACTGCAGTATCTCACAATGCAGCAGCCCCCCTCCAACTTCCTCCCCATAGTTACCTCTTCCCTGTGTCCTTCCCTCCATGTACTCCTGCTCCCTAAGCCATCTCCTTGTGCATAAACAGCCCTTCTATTCTCCCATGATTGATCTCTCCAAGGAGTATATCTACCTAATGTAAATGTTCACCTCATGTGCCTGTCTTTTGTTTGGCTGGAAGCCACGGGAGGGGATTCAATTCCAGATCTGAAGGGCCACTAGGGGCCATAGTCTCAGGGGTTCCACCAGGTTCCATCAGACCAGCAGACTTAGTCCCCCTTTTTTTTTTCTTATGATTTTGAGTTTTGTTCCACATTGTTCTCCCTCTCTATCTAGGATCTCCTACATGATCCCCCTCTGAGTGGTTGACATTGGTGGCCGGGCACCATCTCGTTCTTCTGCTCTCATAGTCCTATAGGCTGAGGATCGTGTGGCATACTAATTACTTAGACTAATTGTTTCCACACATCTTTGGTTTTCTTCATTCTTCTTTGCTCTGGACGAGGAGAGACCCATCGTTGCATCTAAGCTGCTTGCAGAGTTTTAAATCCCAGTTGCTACTTGCCCAAGTACGATGTGGAACAATGTTTTTGTGTAGTGTGTTATGCAGATTGAGCTTGATGTCCTGTATGACCATGCTCCCAAGCCCACAGGTTCAACTACTTGCTCCCTTCAGGTAGCTGGCTATGGCCAAGAAGTGACTACAACCTTGTCCCTTGTCAGCACTACTATATACCTGGAAATTCTTACAGAACATAAAAATACTCTTAGAGAAACATTTCTGCCAACTCTACACATGGTCATGGGCACACTCCCCCCTGCATAGACATAGCTAATAGTTCAGCCTATCTACCCATCTATCCACCCATAGATCAATGTTTGCCATCACTGACAACGCAGTACTGTATGTGCAAAAGGATTCATCTTTGTTGTCTGTACCTCCCATGATGCACCTCTCTACGTCTTCCTCTTCCTCAATACCACCATGTTGATCACTCACATTGGGTACATTGCCATTCCCTTCACCCAAATCAATACTTATTTCTACCTATCTAGCAGTATTCTCTCCCCTCCCCTCTCACCCCTGGTAACCGACAAAATTTTCTTCCATATATAAACCTTTCCTTGAGTTTTTACAGTAATGGACTAATACAATATTCATCCATCTGTGATTGACATGCTCAGCATAATGTCCTCATCCACATTAAGTGTTTGGCAGATTCTATGTTATTCTTTAGGGTTGCATAGTATTCCATTGTGTGTATGTACCATAGTTTGGTTATCCATTCTTCTGTTGATGGGCACCTAGGTTGTTTCCATCTTTTTGCTACTGTACATAGTGCTGCAATGAACATAGGTGTGCATATGTCTGTTCTTGTCATGGCTCTCACCTCTCTAGGATATATACCTAGTATTGGGATTACTGGGTCGAATGGTACTTCTAATTCCAGCTTTTTAAGGAATTGCCATGTTGCTTTCCACAGTGGTTGTATCATTTGACAGTCCCACCAGCAGTGTATGGGAGTCCTGATCTCTCTTCATCCTTGCCAGCGTTTGTTATTTTCTGTCTTGTTGAACTTTGCTAGTAGTGCTGGGGCAAGATGGTATCTCATTGTTTGGATTTGAATCTCTCTAATGGCTAATGATGATGAACATTTCTTCATATGTTTGTTAGGTGCCTGAATATTCTCTTTGATGAAGTGTCTATTCATGTCTTCTGCCCATTTTTTAATTGGATTATTTGTCTTTTTGTTGTTGAGGTGTTGGAGTTTTCTATAAATTCTAGAGATAAGTCCCTTGTCAGATATGTCATTGCTGAATATTTTTTTCCCAGTCTGTGGTTCTCTTTTGCCTCTT